TAGCACATATAAAACATTCAGTAGCACATATAAAACCAGATACGTAAACTAAATCAAATATTACAATTCTGTTCTTTTCCTCACACACAGATAGAGGGAAATGACCATCCAGCGCTTATAATCGAACACAATGATTTGGGTTCTCAAAGGTTTTACAATGCACGGAGTAAGCAAAGTTTCAAATATGATCACTTGAGGAAGGAGGTGCAAGATTATGAACCTTATGAACCAGATCCTATAGCGGAGCCTTGGAGGTCAGCTTTTCAAGACGAGATAACGAATTATACTCAAAGTCATTATAGACACGGCGCCTGCTCAGTTTTTGGAATAAGAATATTAAAAGAAATAATTTTAAAAAAGAAAAGAAAAGCGCATTTTGCGTGAAGTCTGGACGTATGATGTGCATGGGAGCAAACTATAATAATACTAAATAGGATTAAATAAAATTAACGGATGCCAATTCTACATAAACTACTACTTCTACATAAAATACTATATTATTGTGAGATAATATAATGTAAGCACCCAGTTAGCCAAGTCTGTTCTAACAGATTTTGGCAAAGCTTGCTACAAATTATTGTCAGCAAAAAGGCTACGGATTGGGTACAAAAGTTGTTATTACCGATTAAGCTGGCAGATTGACGGCAAAAATTGAGCACAGGTTGCCGACATAACCCGACGGTAAATTGGCGGTAAAAAACTATATTATATTATTAAAAATAAAACGAATGCCAATTCGATATATAAATAAAACTCTATTATTGTAAGATAATATAAAAAACAATACTTAAAAGAAAATACTTAAAATAAAAAATACTTTGTCTTCTTTGGTATCTTCTATAGCACTTCATTTACCTTTTTTGGCATCCTCTATGGCACTTTGTTATATTACCTCACGATAATACAGTACAGTTTTATTTATGTAGAATTGGCATTCGTTAATTTTATTGAATCTCATATAGGCAATAAAATATTGCGTAAAGTAGCTCAATTTAACTATA